TACAGTACTTGTTGCTGTGATGTCATCAGAAGGCAAAACTAGTACTTCAGTGGTGACACCAGTTTTAATAAGATTAGGGGCAGCTCCTAATTTAGCAGTCATTAAAAAAAAATTGCTTTCTACATCAAAGTATCTTCTGTGTTATAATTAATTCCACTCTAGCACTTTGAACAAGAGAACAAAAGAACTCATTGTACAAATTGGAAGAACAATGGTCCTTCATAACCTAGACAAAACATTTCAATGCTGGTGAGAACAGCTCCCCTATTACTCATACAGAGAAGGCAAACCCTTCCTCAAAGTGCTAGCGTTTCATGTCATTTCATTACAAAGATACTTTAAAACATGTTGTATTTAACGCCACTGTGTAGCATTCACAAGCCAGCTTTAATGATTTAATTAAACAACGAACACAGTTTCAATTCAACATCTATGACATCTTGACACATGATGGGATTTTTCAATAACCTCTCAGTAGCAGAATACCATCTCTTACTGCACAGCAAGCAAAAATAAAGCAGAGAGATTGGGCAAGGATAAGCAAACTTTTACATCAGATTTAAAAACTTCAAACAAATGTACTTGTGGAAGAATTCCAAAATTGAATCAGTAAAAACACTGATTTATTGAGAAGTTATACTTTCGGTGAAAAAAGTGGCAAAAAATTCCTCATGGATGTCTGTCATTAACTCTTCAAACATTTTGTTGTTTTACTCTAGGTGCAGCCAGCACTGAGTAACTCTACATCTTCAATTAATTCCAGAAATGCACAGGAAGTTGTTGTACAGGAGAGCTTTAATTTCTTTCCTCCACGGGTTTATGTATGCCTTGTCTTTTCTGTTTCAGCTGAACTCTGCATGTCCTGGACTTCCTTACTCCCACCTGTTCCATACCTTGTGAACTTTCTGCAAATAGTCTGCCAAATCCCAGACCCGTCTCCACACACCCAGTCCTCTTCTGCATGGTGTATATTGGAGAGCAGAATACTTCTCTCCTTTCACATGGGCGGGAGGCAACAAAGAGCAAGTTCTAGCTACAGACCAGATCAAATGCTAGATTATGTCAGACTGAAACATAATGCTGATTTATTTGAATAGTTTTACAAATATATCAGCATATTCCTTCATCGGTATTTAAAGCAAATCACCTGGAAAAAGGGGAGAGATTTAGGCTAACACAGAACACCTAACTTTCAAAGCAGCTGAAGAGGGTCTGCAGATAATAAAAGCACAAGCACAGCTCTATTAACTGTGCAGGTCACCACACCATCTGTCCATCAACAACCCAGCCCATTTAATCCACCATCTGCCTGCAAACATTAGAAGAAGCCAGGCTTAGATTTCACTAGGGTTCAAAGAGCTTTCAAGTAAAACGTAGGTCTCAGATTTAGGTTAATACATTTTATTTCTGAGAATAGCCTAGATTCATATCAATAAAGACCCCTAAGCCACCATGCTAGCTTTCCTTTTTATCTCCATTGCAAACAGTTAGTAGATTATGTGGGTGTTGTTTCAAATTATGGCCAGGCAATCTGTTATTTGTCAGGTTAATTGTAGTTGCTTGTAGATGAACAGTTTAAGAAAATCAGGACACTTGTATCTCAAAGTCATCTGTATCAGAAAAGCTAAAAGCTTCTTCACACCGCATTAACCCAGAGTAACAAATTTCAGAAGCAAGAGGATGCTTGCTCTGTTGACTTCGTCCAGATCTGATCCTGGGAAGCCATTCAAAACTAAAAACAAACACACCAGGAAATTAAGAGAAATTCACAGTGGCATCACCCACTTTCTCCAAAGGAAATGAACATCTTACAAACCTTAAATATACATATTGCCTTGAAAAGTAACACACGCCAAAGCTTTACAGAAAACATCATGCCTAACCTGTGTGCCTGGTGTTACACAACTCATGGAGTCAGTGACAGTACTAACGACACGCTCATGAGCTGGGATTAAATTAAACACTACTCCCAGTCATAAGCATGGATCAACTGCAGCAAATATTCTGAAACTCCAGCTTCCAGCCAGAAGGAAGTCTAAAGGCACCACAGGATGAACAAACACTGAGGCTGTATCCAAGGCAGAGCTCTGCAGGGACATTGGTTGGTCCTGGAAGGAGCTGAGATGGATTTACAGCAGATCACCTCATGGATGAGGTCACAGAATAACACAGGCTGAAATAATGCAGGACTTACTCCAGTACATCAATGTCTTGTACAAGGGAGCTCAAACTGGACTTGCACTGTCAAAAGGGTTGCCACCCGTGCTGACAGAGGGCACCCCTTCCTTTGCCGTACAGGCTGCAGTCTCGCAAGCACAGTCCAGGATGTGGTCAGCCCCATGCAAAGCCACAGCTTTAACTCCATTTAAAACAGCTTTTTGCGGACTATTAGAAAAATAAAAAGGTCTGAAATGCACGTCTTGCATCACTGATGTCATGGTCTCATACTGCAACACTACACTGTGTAAGATAATATAATCCATCCCACAAACTCCCTAAATTTTGTCTTAAAACCCATCATTTCCTTTGCAGATATTACTGTTATTGAAAGCTGATTGAGAACTTCACTGCACTGTAACTGGAAACCATCTCATTCTTTGTGAATTTGCAGTCAGTTTGTGCCTGTTCTTGTAAAATTGAGATCCTCCCCAAAGCTCTTCCTTCTTGTGAAAGTCTGGACAAATTAAACCTTTGCCTCAGCCTAAGTGCTTTTAAGTCTCTCTTTACACAACAGGACCTCCCTTCCTCTGAAAGCCCTAGCAAACTTCTTCACTTTTAACTCCCCCTTCTCAAACACTGGTAAGTGAAGTCACACCAACCTCGCAGAGGCCTGAATGTGGCAGACAAATGTGCTTTGCCAGATTAAAAAGCAGCAGCAATTTTTCACAGGAGAGCTCAACCTCCAAGTTTAGGTACTGTTCCTGGTATTAGCAACTGAGGCAGAAAACCCAAGGACGCAATGCACCACCTATCCTCTGACAGATTTCAAACAGAGATTAATCCAGTCCTTGGGGGTACTTTCTAGGTATGACAGGGGGCCAAGCCAGGTGTACCCTGAAACCACACCTTGTAGGGAGAGACATTGGAGGAAGGTGAGGCCGGGATATTTACAGTCAAAAGAGACACTGTGTTAACTTCTTGCTAAAAAAAATATTCTAAATGAATTACCAAGAGGGCTCCTGGAAGGAACATCTTGTCTCCTGCCCAACTGTTGCCATGGCCACCAGCTCACTGCTGATCTAAATCAAAGCACGGCAAGAAGCACATCCCCGCTGGCCCAGCGTACCCGACAGTCCCTGTCCCCGGCTGCTGGGCAACAACTCCCGAAGCTCAGCCCCAGGACAGACAGGGAGCCAAGACAGCAATGGCACCAGGACACGCCAAGCGCACATGAGTTGCAGCACCAGGCTTCTTTGGGGCTTACATAGCTTCAGATTTGGGACATTTTTTGAATGAAGGGCACAAAGAGGCTTTCCTTGTTGACAGAAAGCACAGAGCGAAGAGGCAGCAGCAATGTACAGCTGTTACAGGGACTCCTTCCTACCCCCCCACTCTGCTCTGACTGCCAAGACCATACTGCTCACAGCCAGGCAGGGCACGGGCAAACCAAGAGCTTTGCTGGGTCATCAGAGAATATGCAGTGAAGGCTAATACACTCAGATCCTCAGGCATTGTATTTATATTCTTTCTAATCGTGGCAGTCAGGCCTCAGTGGGCAGTGTCTGAACTACCTAATGCTGTTATTCAAAAGCACTGCACCCATTACCCATCTGACATGGGAGCACACTGTACCTCTAGAAGAGATAGAGAAGATGCAGAAAGACAGATGGAGACAAGACAGTACAGAAAAGTGTTCTAAACTCATTATCTACCTTTATTAAAACAGAAAAATCATTGCCTAATACTGTTGCCACTCCTAAGACTAAACACTAAAGTTACAACATGCTAAGATTGGTATTTTTATACTTGCAGGCTTTAAGATAATACTAAAACTCATAATGAATCAAGCTAAAGCAGTACAGTGACACATGCCTACCCAGATGGGGAGTACTTTCAGTCTCAGATAACAAGAGGTAGAAAAAATACAAACTATTTTCTTATGAATGTATTTATTATATTCCTGTTCTGCACACGCTTGCATTAGGTTTTCTGGAATCATCTACATCAACAGACTTTTATTAAAATCTACCACGTGTTGTTGACAGCTCTAACCCCTAGCCACACAACTGGTATAATACAGCAAGAAGAGCTTGTCCTGTGCTAAGCGGAACACTACAGACACAGCAGCCTCCTACAGCTGTAGAGAAAGTAAAGCCACTGGCTACATACCAACATGCTTAGTGGGAAGTCAGCAAAGTAATTCAGCACAGTAACTGAACCTGCGCTCTACAAAATGCACCATGTAATCCCAGTGCTGTCCTCCACCAAATAAAGTACATGTCCTCTCTGTCTCAGATGCTTGTGGTGCAACCGCTCCTGTAAAAGGATTATTCCTATAGCAACCAGAGCAGTCAGGCTCACCTCCACACTAATCTGTCAGATGAATAACCTCCCAGAAAATGACCATGGCTTTGTCATGACCCAGGCCCAGTAAAGCAGGGGTGCCATATCTGGGGCAGCTTAGTGACTCCCATCTCCTCTCAACACAAATCGACAGAGCATGCGAGCTCATTTCCTAGCCAATGAACCAGATGAGATGTGACAGAGCCGCAGCTGTTCAGCATATTGCATGTTTCCAAGAAACTGCTTTTCAGGAGACCAGCCATCCTGTGAGATATGACGGAGCCTTGACAGAGCAGTCCAGGTCTGGACCTCAGAACAAGGTACTCTGCATGAAAGAGTGAAGGGCAATTTCTACCAACTGGACATATTCAAGTTCTTATGGACTAAACCTTAACAGGAGCTAAAATTAAGATACAGAGCATCTTCATCTCTCTCAGCATTACTGATGGGCCATGGGGAGTCTGCCCACAGATCCTTGCCTCCTGCATATGTCTTACCTGACAGTCGAAGTCCTGGAAGTTGCGAGCTGCATTCTGTTAACAAAAACCAGAAAACAAAACAAAACAAAAAGTTCAGCACAGTAACCCAAAACACCCCCAACAACATCATGAAAGTTCCCCTCAGAGATCTCTGCTTCAGCAGTCTAGCCTGACTGCAGTCAGGACAGCACCAAAATGTGAGACTCTTACAAGAAAATTCCAGGCAAGTTCTGCCTGTTACTATACAGCAAGGTTGCTAGGGGCTGTCCCAAGGCTGTCAATTAAGGAGCATACCTGTGGACACAGATGAGAGTTGAGAGCATTTGAGCAGGGACAGATGCAGATAGGAAGAACCCTGACCAAAGTCAGGCTGGTTATGAGGTTGGGTTTTGTCTGGTCCTCGTGCCCATTACCAATTTGAATGCAAAACTCTTGAAGGGACTACCACGAGGATCTCACATAATGAGTGTAAGAAAACAAGCTACGCAGTCACTCTGCAGTAACTGCTGTGTGCATGGCATCGTTCCACAGCAAACACAGTGACCTGTAAGCTACTGAAACCAGAGTGCATGGTAACTGGGCTCAGCAATTCATAATGGACTTTTCCCAGAGGGTGACACCACGCATACAGGCAAGCACAGTAAGTACACCACGTTTGGTGTACTGCAAGTTCAAAGGTCTGCAGTAACTTGTCTGTATGCCCACATGCTTCGTAAGACTTTGTCTGCTCACAGAGTAGGTTATGCTACTGAAGGCTGTCAAACACTGCAAAAGCCTGAGCAAATTGTTTGAAACAGCATTCGAGCTTATATGTTTTAGGTGTAGCACCTTAGATTACAGCTAGAACCACATATGCACAACAGAAACACCCCAAACATTTCTTCTGGTTGAGCACCCTAACTCTCCATGTATAAACAAATGGCCATGAGCTTTGCCACATTAGTAAGAACACAGGTTACTACCTGTGTTCTTCAGTCTGAGACATTTAAGTTGAGGTATCCGCAAATCTGTTTTAAGAATGTCCCCAATGTTAAGTAGTGAATTGTGTCAATGTTTGAACATGATGAGGCACAAAGCACCAAACCTTCAGGATGGAGGAAAAGAAGATAAAAAGCAGCCCACTCTTATTTCAGTTTGAGTTAGTTGAAATTCCTGAGAACTCTCTCTGTGCCTATTTTTCTGCTCTGTTAAATGCAGACAGTAGAGCCTTCTCACCTACCAGGTCATAAAGAAGGTCAGTTCAGTCATCCAATGACACCGTGATTAAGGACTACAACAAAGCCTATGAAGAAATGGGAAACTTCTATATCTAGCAGTGGACTTGGATGGTGCATGCTAAGTAAAGAAAAGGCTGATCTGAATTTGTACTGAGAAAAGCACAAGATTCCATGTGCAGGGAACGGGGGGAGGAGACCACACAAAACAAGAGTGAAGGTCTGCAACTGTGTTGCTTATTGTCAGGGTATGCCATGATGCACAAGAAGCATTAGTGATGTGCCCTGACTTTTGAATACTTGATTTTAACACACTGAAATCTGCCTTTAAACCACTAATCTATTAACTGTTTTAACCTGAGAAAGCTTTTCAGGCCTCTGAGGGTGTGATGGCTGCACTTCAAAGGCAAAGACCTAGCAGTAATTACCCAATCCAGCCTAAGTGCTGTCCACTCAATCTCTTGAATCAAGCTGGTACATTTCAGTAATTTTTCACTGAGGCTATATTAATTGGAGTCAGCGGTGCCAGAATATGGACCAGACAGAATAATCAAGTGTCACTGAAATAAATTTTCTGATCATGTAACAGGCAGCACTCTCATTGTCTCTTTCAACTAAATGGGAACATCTGAAGTTGATTTTCCCAGTAAAAAGTCACTGCATTTTAGTCAGTCTGAATGAGGTGAACATATATAATCTAATGTATTTTTTGCTTCTCTGCACTTGTCATTAGGCTTAAATTACACACAAACATAAGAGTGTATTCTTTAAACGTCAGTCTTGTAATTTTTTGCTGACTTAAATTTGAGACAAAACAAAACCAGGACTCAGTGGTCCCCAATGGCATTCCCTACAGTTCAGACAAGTGAAGAAGGTATGACCCATTTTAGTTTCACAGTCAATTCCACTGGTTTTAGAGTTTGAGTATTAAGACACCAGAGCTCCTTCTCTCTGTACAGCAGCCTTTGTATCCGAAGAGTTCATGAGCACTTACTCATTAGCACCTTAAGAGTTATTGTACTATTTCTGGCCCTTAATCCATGCTGGCTCAAACTTCTACATCTAAAGTGGGTTAGTCAGTAAAGATCTTAGTGAACTGCCAGATCAATACTTTTTGGACTCTGATACCCTGCACAGAACAGCACATTACAGCACCACACCCATATGCTCCATAAACTATGTCTAAAAAGCACATGTATTACTTCAATCTTGAAAGTATTCATTAGGGTCAGACCTCAGAGATGGTAGCTCCCGGAAGCATATCTTTTTGTTTTAACAAAGTGTAAAAGGGAGAGACACAGCATAATTCTCTCCCCACGCAGTGCTGAGGATGGTTCTGGAGCCACTCTTCATATTTATTACTACTAAAACAGAATATATTTCCTGTAACTTCAAACCTGAGCCAAGGAAACCAAGTATCACTTTGTATATGCCCTTCTGTATGCTGGTTAGCACTGTTGGGCTGTTTAAGTGAGCATTCTGCCTTTAAACCAGAACTGTCCCAGCTATAAGGTGAGTGCCTGTGTAGATGACACCATGGCAAGGACGTGATGGGACTGATCAGGCAATACTTGACAGAGAGCCTGAAAACTTACCAAGTGAAAAAAACTTTGTTTTGGCATGCTTCAATACCTTCTACTCAAGTCAGCTCACTGCAGCAAGGGAAATCTACCCTCTTGAACTCAAACACAGAAAAACCTAGGAGAATCATGAGCAAGATCTGGGGCACTGCATTTAGGAAGCTTGTCTTCTGTAAACATTTACCTCTGATTTTGAAATAAAAACTGTTTTCAAGGCCTTTTTATATTTTGTCTGCTGGTCTGCACTGATTTTGTTCTTCTAAGGCTCACCCTCCCTGGAAACATTTTTAAAAATTATGTTTAAACTGTGGTGGAAGCCTCGTAGTCAGCATTAGACTGTAAGAACAGGCAGTTGGACTGCAGATTTCAGCTGAATTTTTAGATTTCACAGATACTAAACAGATATGCAAGCACACCAAAGAAAAGAGCAAAAACTAAGCAGCACAGACCAAACCAGCAGAATTTCAGAGATTTCATCCATTTTGCATGGCAGTCTGCACTGGACAGCGCAGTCGTCCACAAGCACACAGTGAGTGGACAAAGTACCGTATCTCTTTGGCAGCACAAGCTAGTTCTTGATGTCAGCCACTGAACAGCAAAGCGTTGGGAACTGCTTCACTTATCATTCACCATCAAACTTAGGTGTGAGGTATGGAAAGTGACCAAACTGCATTGTTCATAGTCACAGTTTGCAGATTTAAGATTCCAGATCTTGTTAGGATGGCCCAGAATGACTTAGGCACTCAGAACAACAGTTCACGGCAGAATCCAGTGAGGCTAGGGCTTTCGTAAAGCCCAGATGGCTCTCCTCCAGCCCACAGAAGGCAGAGTGAAAGCCTTAAACAGCTGCTGCAATACAGCAGCTTTCATGCAATACTTTCCAAAGTTGGAGTATTGCATGACTCTGGACTGCTCTAGCTTGGCTCTGCAGATATTAAAAGGAACTTGCTCTCCATTACTAAATCCAGGGAAACAGGGTTGGTTTGGGGGGAAAAAACATAAAAAGATAACTTAAGACAAAAGATTTTAAATAAAAAAAAGTAAAAAAAAAATAAAAGAAAATGGGATACAATCCAAGGTTTCCCTAACAAGCAGGAATTTTAAGAGGTTCTACAGTTCTACTAGGTGAGGAATGGTATCACCTTTCCAATTTCTGCCTTGCCTTTGTAAATCCTCAGTACAGGTGTGACAAACTGGCTGGGACTCTTTCCCCGAGACTTTGGAAGAGCATGTGATGGTGGACTATCAGAGCGGGGAAGCATTTACTGGTTTTGAGTACTTAAGGTACTTCAAGCTGTAAACAGATTCTGGCAATCAGGGCTCCTTGCCAGGCACAAAGTCAGCCAGAGTACCCCTGTGAAAGCAAAGGAGCAGCTTAGCATTACCTTATCATTCAGGAGTGGTTTGATCTCTGTCAACTGAACATCCTGCAGTTCGTCCATGGTGCTGTAAGTGAAGCCGATTAATCCTCAGAGCAGCGAATGGGTGATTCTGAAACAAAGACATATTGTTAGAAACAGTATCACAAGAGATGCTAGCCAAAGAAAGCTTTAAGATCTTTCATTAGACTTGTGTATGCTCAAAGTGAAGTCTGAAATAAGCAGGTTCTCGGTGCAACATGAAGCACCTGTAACTGTAGAAGGCAAACAGCCATGCTTGCACTGAGTGAGTCAGTTATGTTACTCCTTACGCTGCACGTTGCCTTGCTCATTGAAAGCTGTCCCTGAAAGTTCAGGCCTTTCTACTGAGAAAGTCTGGATTCACTTCTGTGCATTGCTGGTACTTCAGCCATAATCTGCCTGGAAATAAACTGCAAAAGCCTGGATCACCAGAGTGAAAAACTGTGTTCAGTATGGAGGAATACTGATATCTCACCGCCACGCCTGACACTAACTGCAGAATCCAGCCACTAAAGACAGGGCTGTGCCTGTAACCTATGAGACATGTGGCCAGCACTGCATTTGTACACGGGAGACAGAAGTGTAGAGACTGAAGTACCTCACTGGCAGAACATAAGACAGCCTGGAACCCAAGGCAGCCCTTTTTTTATGAGGTGGGATATAAAAATGGCCCCCAGATAGTCCTGTTCCAGTTGAACATGTGCAGGGTAACACTGTTAACTGTGTAGCACAAACAACCATTCTCCATCAGGTGGTGCAGAGTCATCAAAAGAAAGCAAAAAACCGCAATCAACAGTATGTTAGGTTGCCATATGTCTATGGGAAATCATTGCTGCCACAGAGCCAGAGAAGAAACCTTCTAGTACAAACACAGCAGTGAGGATGAAGGAAAAATATGTCAGAATTTACCGTAGAATTAACTTATTTTATAGCCAGAGGTTCTACTTGTGTTTCTAGATAGGAGAATTTATAGAGCAGGAAGTTGCAGCAACATGAAGAGGGCTCTGGCAATAGGAGATGATCATGCCTGATGGTGCAGATTATTTGGTTCTTCAGGAAAACTATACATATTACTGTAGATGAAATAAAAGAAGTCGTGGACATAAGTAGGGACAGGAATAGGCATGTGGTGGGCTTCCTGGGCGTTAGCAGAGTGTGCTAGAAAAAGACTCTCAAATACTGTCACAAATCAAATTCTTTGTTCAAGAGAATATATTGCTGCTAACCACAGAAGAAAAAAAAGTGAAAAAGAATACTGCAACTGTGCTTCTCCAGCCACTTTAGTGCCACACAAACACACACTGCACCAGGAAGGAGGGGTTCCTGTCACTCCAAATGCTGTGCAAATCTGTGCATTCTCGTCACCTCTCTTTGTGCCAAGACTAACATTGGTGTGGCTGAAGCCAGCCTGGCACAAAACAAATCATAATGCCTTTTCCCTCTGAAAATCAGCCATAGCAATTCCCCTCTCTTTTAGCTCCTTTGCTTTGGGAAACTTTTCAGATGCTCTTGCTGTAAAACACTTCAGTTGTGAGAGTTCCAAGAAACCAGTTAATCTACAGGTAGCTTCTCCCTTACTCCATGATGAATTTGTATTCAGCAGAGCAGTAAGTTGTCATACAATGCGCTGTAAGCCCCAGAGGAAGAGCTAGTTACTGTAGTTCTGATAAGGTGTTACGGAGACCAAAAAAATACTTTCCATTAAGGAATTACAACTTCTGTATACATTGGGACTGATTAAGAGCTCAACATCTACCAAGTTCTCTCCAAAACAGCATCTCACAAGGTTAAAGACACTCAAGGAGTTTCAAACAAACCTTGCAAAGCTTATCTGCATTAGGTGACACAGTACTAGAACAACCACCCCATTATCTGGAGACCTTATTGCTCTCATGCTCCTTTTAAGAGACACCCACTGGACCTGATGGCAGGCAGGAAGGCTATGTTTTATTCTTGGGGTCACCCAAGAAGTTGTCCACTCTACTCAAAGGGATTAAAAAACTGTGCACACAGCAGCCACTTTTCTCTGTGGGTTTTTATACACAAGTGAGTGGTAAGTTACACTTGTTTTGTTGTTCATGAATCTTAGGCTCACACCTAGCATTTTTGCCTAAACCAGAGTCTACATTGAAGCAGGACATCTAATAATCACTCTCTACCAACACTTGACTGATCAAAGAACAACTCAGAGCACCAGCTGCTCTCTGTTAGATTGCTCAAGGATATTTTTTGCTAAAGCTTTGCAGATACTCCTCTTAGTTTCTCCTGAGCTATACAAAGAGCAACAACTTCCAGAGAGCCCTGGGATGCATCCTGAATAAACCTGCCCCAGGATATTGTTTGCTGCTGATACAAGCATACCAGTCCATGAAGTGTGTAAAGTCTAGAGAGGGGCAGACAGACACATTTTGTAAATCCCATGCAATACTTTGTTAATCATTTATTATATGAGAATAATAAAAAATTAAGTAGATGTTCAAAGCAAGAATTATCGAATGCTTTTATCTCATCAACCTCAATTTTGTACTTCGTCTGTAGATCCAACTACAGTGCACACAATAAGCAATGTCATTCTGAAATTAATCTGATACTTATCTTCCTGGTCCACTATTGCTCCAAATACTGTTTCAGGAAAAGGGGACGTCTCTAGAGGCTAAGGCAACAAACTGTTGTGAAATACCTGCACTGCATGTTTCTCCTTCGTTAAAGCAAGATGGGCAACAACAAGAAAGGCTGCTCTTTTGGATGCTGAACCTGGAATTAGGTGAAAGAGAAGAGACCACCTTCCTTAACACCAACTGGGCTCATGTAGCTGGGAAAACCCCTGTAGGGGAGCTTGTAGGAGGAGTAAGAGACATGCTCTGCATGCACCGTCTGCAGCACAGCCAGCCTGGGAGACTCTTCAGCTCAGAGCAGTTTCTCACCCCGGCTGCAGGAGTGAGAGCAGGACCTCCGAAGGGGTCAGAAGGGACTGAATGCTGAGGTGAGCCACGAAGCCACTGAAAATTGCTGAACTGAGAGTAAAATCAGACAGAAAGATTAAATCTGCACAGACACAAATGGCCAGATGGTGGATTTCTTTTCTCAACCTTTTGATTCTAATCTGCTTAACCAGCAAATCTGAGTTTTTTCTTCTTTCTTAGAAACTCAAAGCCTTTCAAAGGTTTTTTGAAGGAAAAGGTACAGGAGGTTCCCATCACTGCTTGCAAGCAGCTTTTTTTAGACTGCTGAACCAGCTCTTCCCAATCCACTCACTTGTGAACTCTCCAGAAAGCAGCTATCACAGCCTCAGGACTTCATTTCAATCCATTCAGAGGATACTCGGTGGGCAGATATAAACACTTTTCTTTTCCAAGGTCTTAGCAAGCTGAATGTGATTGTCCTGGACCAAATCTGAGTAACTTGTTATTACAGCATGAGACCTGACTCCCTCTATGCAATTATTCACAACTTCACTTGAGCACACTGACATGCTAACAGCATTATGGCTTTCGGTTTGAAACTTGGCAAAGGGGCACATTTGTCAAAAAAAGGCCACAAAATTTTCTCAAAAGAGAATGCTTTGTAGCAGAGAGACCTGGTAAAACACATCTCCAGGTGCAGAGGCAAAGCGATGGGTGGGCTATTGGTGAGCTGGGCTATCCTCTGCCTCTGCTCCAACCATGTTAAAGGCTCCTTGTAGAAGATCTGCAAACATGTCTGCCCAAGAAACAATCAATTCTCTCCCTCTACTCTTCCTGTTATTTAAAGAGACAAACATGTCATTTCATAAGCTGAAAGCAAGTTTAAGAATACCACAACAAAGCAGCATAAATATTCATAGCACAGAGAAGAGCTCTGTAGAAAACAATCTACAGGCAAAGTAAAAGATTTGCCTGGAATGATCCCTGTATAAATTACATATTTTTCTATAAATGTCCCAGTACCACCTCCTTTGCAAGTATTCCTCTTGCCTCCACATATATATATATGACTATAAATACACTCAAATACCCCAATTTAAATGATCCATCCTTTTCCAAAGGCTTCCCGAAGGTGGAATAGACTCTGCTCTTTGAAAACCAGTAAGATAAGAATGGAGGAAAAACTTAGTGAATCATTAGCACAAAGACTAGAAATCAGGGTCAGACACAGAAGGCTGCAAAAAACCAAGGTAGTTTGGCCTCAGAAAGGAACCATCTACCTATAAGTAAAATCTGAAATACGTGCTCACATTCTCAATCTGAGATAAGGGTGCTCACAGTTTGCTTCATTTCAATATACAGGTTGTATTAAAGTAAGTTTGGTAAGGCAAGAGCATGAGTACTACAGACCTGCACCCACATAGCCAGCAGTGTAAACTGCACCGCCTGTGGGTACTCGGGCTCCAGTTTCTAGTTGGCAAAGTTCAAGCAGTACTGTTCCCCATAAGATTACAAGCCACAAGAGCTGGATTTTGAATCCAACTCTCTAGGCACTTCCTTGAATATTCTGTTTTATTATGGAGGTGCAATCTCTCCATGCCATTTAGGAATTAGTGCAACAAAATCTCGTATTCAGAGGCTGAAAATTATTGTTCATACATCTCGACTACAGCTTCTAATTTAACTCTATAGCCTGTTATATACTCCTGCTTTGTATTTAACCGCATTGAGATAAAATTACACATGACAGTTATCAAGCTATGATACAAAACATGGCATTAAATGTACCTAAATATACATTTCCTTGCTTGGAAGCCCAGCAGAGGCCAGCTGAAGAAGCCTCCTCTCTAGGGTCTGACTACACTTACAGTCATGACAATCTGGGTTAGGTTTCCACAATCAGCTCTCTGACACAGCTATCTGCTTCTTGTGAAATGGAAAGAAGAAATGCTGCTCCAGGGTGTGAAAAGCTGGGAATACACTCAGAATTTGCAGCTAGTGCAAGAACCAAAGTACATTACCCACAGTCTCAGGTTTGCAGTTCAGGCATTTATTCAGCCATGCGTGTTGTGTAGCGTTACACTACAGCTTTTTCCTTTCTACATAAGGGGATTCCTGCTTACTGTGCCTCCTCTGCTTCTCTTTCATAGACATGGGAAGACAAGCTGCCTGACAAGGTTCCTCATCC